CTGCATCGCTGTTGCCAGCCCCTGCCGAGCGGAGGAGAAGGGCTCTGCTCCTGCAGGGGAGCCGATGGAAGCGCCCTGCCCTCGTTTCACCTTCTTAGCATCTTGCCCCGAGAAGGGGGAGAACCGTGTACAAACTCGACGCCGACCTTTGGGGCTGGGGGGAGCAGAGGAGGAGGAGAAGAGGGCGGAGGGGGCACGGGAAGGAGCCCAGAGCCCAGGCATGGCGAGCAAGGTGACCCACAGCAGTGGCATTCGAGGCACCCGGCGTGGGGCCGGGGCAGGGGGGATGCTGCTGGTGGGGCCTTGGGGGACTCCATGGGGTTCAGGGCCATCGGGCAGGGACCCCGCAGCTGCCACAGACCTGGCAGAGTGAGGATGACCACCCCAGCCACCTCCCACTGCCAAACAGCCCCTGCCGTGTCATTTCTAGATGGGGCAGGGTATTTCTTTTTTTGCTTCCCTGCCCTGCTTTGCTTCATTATGGTCTGTGTTTTCCAGGCTGCCTCTCACGCTCGCTCAGCCCGTTTGTTGGGATTCCCCCTTTTTTGGTGTGCTCGCTTTCCTGGCGGCAGGTTGGGTGGTTCCTGCCCACACCTTTGGGTAAGCGTCACTTCTAGAAAACTGGTATTTAAAAAGATTTCTATAGAAACCTTTTTTTCCTCCGAAGTGCAGCAGAACTGGTCTGGTCAGGCTTTGGGTTACACTTATTACTCTTTGCTCACGTGCTGGGGAGGTGGGTGACATCCAAGAGGAGGTGAGTCAATTCTGAAGAAGTTCTCAGCCTTTGATTTGCAAAGCCAACCCTACAGATTTGAGTTGCTGAGCAGCCACAGCAGCAGCTCTTTTGTGCCTTTCAGCACCTGAGCTCTGACTTTCTCGAGGTTTGGGGACAGAGCAGGTTTTTCCCCCAAGGAACTCGCCGCCTGTGGGTCATTTCCAGGCAGGAGGTGAGGAGCACTCTGTGGGTTCCTTGTCTTGCAGAGCACAGGGAAGGACTGGTTCTAACCCCTCGGAAAGGAGCAAGGGAGTTCAGCACAGCCCTGCTGGCAGCATTCAGCCTCATTCAGCCTCCCTGCTCCCATGGGACCAGCATTCACAGGGTGCAAGCGGTGAGAGGCACCCCAAAGGCAGGATGGGGTCAGCCCTGCCCCTCACCTGGGTTGCAGAGAGGTTCTTCCCCACCATGGGACTGGCCAACCTTTGATTATAGATTAAAATAAAGCAACTGAAATTCCTTCTTGAAGTGAGCATCTTTATGCACAGCCCACCTTCTGCTTCCCTGCAGAGCCCAGCCCCACATGCTGGGGAAAAGCATGCAGCTAGAAGGAAAAAAACCCAAAGCCTTTGGTGGCAAACCCCAAAATACACTCCCCATCACAGGATGCTTCGCCTGGTGGGGTGAAAGGAAGCACCCAGTGCAGAGGGGAAGGGCTGCTTTACCCAGGGAGCAGCCCGAGGCTCGCTTCCCCCAACCCAGCCCAAAGAGGGATGCAGTGCCCTGGCCTTTTTGACTCCCTAGCAGAGCTGGAGAAAACCAAGCTCAGCTTGGCACTACTCATCAGCCCAAGCTGTGTGCTGCTGGGCTACTCAAAGCCAGGAAAGCTAGGAGAAGCTTACAGCTCTTGAGCAAGCCAGCGTGTAAAGCTAAGCTGCAAATCACCTGACAGACACCCCTTAGAGCTCCTACCCCTACCTTGGTGGGTGGGAGCACAGGGCAGGGCTGCCCCTCCAGGGCACAAGGGCTCACCCACACCCCTACAGCAATCACCAAGCTGCATTTGACATTCTATAAACAGTTTATTAAAGTTCAATGTACAAAGTCATTCCTTCATCCACCCTGCCCACATCCCTCTCAAGGAGCATTTGGCAGCTGCAGGCTGCTGGGCAGGGATGGCTTCTCAGCATCACTTCCCACCCCAGCCCCAACTTGGGCTGCCCCCCGCCCCATCAGCTGCATCTTCCCTCATCAGGCAGTCTCATTTTGCCAGTGTGCATGAGCATCCTCCGTGCCCTGCAAGGGAGAAGAGAAGTCACTGTGCCCACGTCCAGCAAGGGGGGGGGGAGGGGGAGGTCTCCTTCCCCACCCCCCACCAAAGGTGGTGTTTCCAACTCCTGGCATTGCCCAGGACCATCACCAGGTACCCCAGGCACCTGTCACCTGCAGAAACACCAGCTGTGCTCCAAGGCACAGAAACTAACTCCAGGGACCATAAACGCCACTTGCCTGTTCAGAGGATGCCCAGAACCCTTGGTTTTCCATTTCCAGAGTCTGGGTACCTGCTTCAGGGTCTCTTCTGTCCCAGAGGACCATCATGTCCCACCAGCTGAGCCTCCTGGTTCTCAGACACTGGAGAGGAGAGCATGGAGGTTGCAGGCATGCCTGGCCCCATGCTGGTCCCACTGCTCCATGCTCCCCTGGCACAGGGGCTGGGGCTTTGCCCCAGCAGACAGACACAGCCCTTACCACCAGCAGTACAATGGGACCAGTAACAATGCAGAGGCCGCACACAACCATGATGGCCACGCCGTACTCGGGAAAGCCTGGTTCAGGTGGGGGTGGCTCCAGGGTGTCCTCTGGGGCAGAGCACAGCAGTCAGCACAGCATGCAGGAGACAGGGCTCCACCCCACGAGGCTGCAGCCCCCCACTCTCCTTTGGAGAACAGGAGCAATATATAGGATGCCAAGAACATCTATTCAACAGCTTCCATGCCCTCTCCAGACAACCCTCACCTCCTGTCCTACACCAGCCTGCAGCAGACGGGTCTCTGTCTACATCTCCCCCAGGCTGTGCAGTGGGCTAGGACATGGCTGTTACAGAATTGTACTTGCAGATCACCCATTGCAAGCCAGTCACCTCAACAGCTAATACATCTCAGCCTCCCTTTGCATAAGAGACGTGGATCTAGTTGGCTGGGGATCTACTCTGCTCAGACTTCAGGCACAGAACCACAAGCTGATGAAGCTTGCTACACCCATACCCCAAAGCTTACCTCCCACAGCAAGAGAGTAGGGGTCCACCTGGAACTCTGAACCAGCAAAAGCCTTGTTTGGCCCAACTGAGAGCACAAGCGCCTCCAAAACTTCCAGGCTGGTTGGAGCAGGGTGCTGGTAGACCATGTCCCCATGGCAGATCAAGGAGCCAGGCCTGCAGACAGGGTTGGAAGAGCTCCTTGAGCCCACAGGCACATGCTGGGCTGTGGCCATCGTGGGCACAGCCAGATCCCAGCTGGTTTTGCTCTGAGGGGCCCCAGGAGGGTATCTCTGCACTCATGGAGGCATGGGCTTTGCATCTGCTCTTTGGGATGGAAGGGGCATCCCTGGGAGTCTGGCAAGTCACTCCTGGAACAACACGTAAATGCTTGACCTCAGTGGCCTGCTGCAAACCCTTCTGTGGCTGAGGCCATACACCTGACAGCCATGACCTCTTGGTTGATATCTGTAGGGAGACCGCCCTGGCTCTGTACCCCCCTCCCCCAGCAGCCCCTCTGCTCCCACTCACAGGAATCCTCTTATCACCACTTGCAGGAAGCTCTTGTGGTCCTTCAGGGCTCTTGCCACCTGGAAGAAAAGTTTTGCTCAGCTCCCCACCAGCCTTCAGGGTGTTTCCCCCAGCCAGACCACTGCTTCCACAGTCATGGTGGAGGGGGCCCAGCCACTACAGCAGGGACACAGGGCAGCTGCAGTCTTGCAGAACCTCCAGGTCCCTGGCCACATTGTGGTGGCCTGAACCACCAAAGGTTCATCAGCAGACAGAAAACATCCTGCCACAAAAGCCTCGGTGCCTGCCTTCAGCAGCTATCAGCCATGGCACTGGAGTTAAGGGTCTGGTTTGGACAACCCCAAAGCAGTCCCTTTTCCTCCAGTGGCCCTCAGCACCCTGAGAGGACCCTGGCCCTCCACACCAGCCATGCCTACCATATCACCAAGGTCTCTGATGAGCTCCTGGTGCTCTACAGCAAGGGGATCCAGGAGGTCCTCACTGAAACGTTTATTGGTGATGAGGAAGGAGAGCGGGTAAACCTGCAGGTGAAGCCTGGATCCTGAAGAGGCAAGACACAAGTGCTAGGTGAGCAGAGCCTGTCAGTGAGCCCTACCACACACAGAGACTGGACTTACCCTCCACCGAGAGGGAGGTCAGGTCCACTGAGCAGGTTGTGAGAGCTGTCAAGGCTTGCAGAATCTCTGCAACATCAGCATGGATGATCGTGTCGAGGTAGAGGTCTCCAGTGATCTCCAGGTCCCCAGTGAGGTTCCTAAGGGGAGAGAAGGGCTCTAAGCAAGGCAGGAAAGCTGGGACCAGGCTCACCAAGCACACCCTTGCTGGTCTTTTTTTCAGCAGCTCATGACTCCTCAAGCCCATGGAAAGTGCTTGGTTCCAGCATTTGCCACCAACTGCCCATCACCCTCCTGGGTTTCCTAGTGCAGCACAACTCATCCCCTCCATCCCTGCAGCATGGCTCATCAGCTGCAGAGTGCACAAGAGGTACCAGAGGTAATTTAACGAAGAGCTCCAGAGAGGGGAGTCATGTCCCATACCTGAGCTGGATGATAGTGAAGTTCCTCACAGGGTAGAGGGCACTGAGAGACCAAGTCACCTGGATGAAAAGGGGACAACAGCTCACACCCTGCTTTAGCGCATACCATCATGCAGGCAGCACAGCAGCCAGCCTGTGCCCCTTGTCCCAGCATCATCCTTTGGAAGAGCCACCAAGGCTCGCCATACCTTGCTGACCAGCCTCTCCAGGGCATCTGTCCTGCTCCTCCCAAGCTGGAAGACTATGAGAGAGATGGACAGCTTCTCTGGGTCCAGATTCTCCAGGCTGAAGCCTAAGAGAGTTTGAGAGACAGTTATGCCCATACCTGTTCCTCCACCTTCCTTGGGAGATATTGGTCAGCCCTGAGCCCATCCTCTGCCACATGCAGAAAGCAGAAGCCGGCAAGGCAGCTGAGCAAAGAGGAATAGCTTTCGCAATGGGAAGGGCTCAGGATGTACCACCTCCCAGAACAGGAGAAGCAGGTCAAGGAGGGGAAGCCAGAGTTTAGCAGAAGCACTGGACCACACAGCTCCAGCTGCTGCAGATGCAGTCCCCAGCATCCTTAATGCTAGAGGGTTTTGCATGGGTCAGGAGAAGTGAAGTGAAGGTGAAGCCTGAAGTCCAAACCATACACATTTTGGCTTTGATAGAGGTGTAGGGATGACCCTTGACAGCCAGCAGCAGCTCTGCTGTGGGAAGATCTCCACAGCTTACCACCAGACTGGACAGATTGTGGCTCCAGTTGCCAGCTGAAGATGCTCCTTCCCCTTCTCGCCTCGGTGATGACTGTCCGGATGAGGTGGGAGTTGGTGGGAGCAGGAGCATTCCCCCGGAACAGAGCCTCCCCTTGTACAATCACTGAGCCGTTCCTGGGAGGGAGATGATGGGCAGCCTACCTCCCCTTTCGGAGCAGCTTTAGAGCACATTAACACCCCACCCAAAGAGAGGTCTCAGGTGGCTTTATCTAGAGCTTCAGACACTCAACTCCAGACAGTGGCCCTGGGGAGGGAGCATAGCCCCTCACAAGACGCCTCTGGAGCATTTTGCCAGGCAAACCCTCCCCTCCAAGTCAAACCCACCCCTCTCCATCTGTTGCCCCAGGGCAGAGCTGCATACTCACATAAACTTGAGGACATTGGCCTGCAGGAAGGTCTCATAGGTGGAGAGCATTTGGTTTAGCTGGAAGAAAGAACCACCCATTAATTGAGAAGCTTTTACAAGCTCCACCATGCAAAAGGGGCATATACCAGGAGGCATGCAATGAATGTGGAGGGAAGTCAGCTCAATTTGCCCAGGGTAGGGCACACCAGTACCCCAGGGTATGCCAGGCCTCTGGGGACAGGTCATGGCCCCGCTGGCATACCCAGGGCTCCCATCAGCCCAAAACCAGCACCCAGGAGGGAACACACCAGCACCAACATGCTGCGCAACAGCCCTGCTAGCTGCCAGCAGTGAGGGGAGCCCAGCCCCACCTCAAACCAAGCATCTCCGTCCAGCTCTGGTGGAACAGTGCCAGGGATTTACTTGTCTCCACCATGCCTAGGTGGGTGATAGACCAAGCCAGGGCCAATGCAGCCCACAGGCTCCTCACCCCAGCAGGGCTCGCTGCTGCTGCAGTAGCTTCTTGGCTGCACCCAGAAGTACCGATACCTCCACCAACTAGCGCCTGCACTCACCATCAGCCTCACTTCTTCCTCCAGCTCCCTGTAGCTCCCTGAAGCCCTGCTGCTTAGTGCCTCAGTGTAAGCGATGCCCAGCAGCCGGAACCACAAGGGCAGCACATGCACAGGCTGTGCAGGAGAGTGCGGCCCAGAGGAATAGGATGCAGGAGGCCTCACCCCTGGCAAGCCAGGGTTCCCCATCGTCACCAGCTCAGCTGGGGTGAAAGCCTCTCCTGCAGCTGCAGGGAGATGCTCTCTGGCCATGGAGGGTTGCTTGGAGGCAACAGAGAGACTGGACATGGACTGAGCATCAAGGGTTGCTCCTGCTGATGTGGTCCAAGAGCTGAGCAGGGAGACAGCAGCATGCACAGCCCCAGTGGAAGTCAGCAGGTAGGATGGAGAGGACAAGCTTGCGGTGCCAGTGCAGCAAACAGCCTCAGGGCAACGCTCTGGAGCAAGGTTCTTGGAGCTGGGAGGAGGCACAGAGCCTGGGCTGGTGCGGGTGGGCGCCAGAGGTCCTGCTGGAGCAGCAGTGGGTCCTACCGATGCCATCCTGGGCTCGCTGTGCCCAGCTTCTTCTGCCACCATCACCTCTCCAGGCACCATGCTCACATCTGCCACCGTCACAGCCTGGTGTTGCCCTGCAGTGGGTCCATCCTCAGATGCTGTTGTAGAGAAGGGATGCAGGATCAGCCTCGGGGTAGATGACCCCAGTGGGGAGCCATGGGTCACCCCTGCAGCTCTTGGAGAGGGTGAAGCCACTGTGGCAGCTCCATCCTTGCAGGGAGCTTTGGTCACTCCGGGCTCTGGGATGGCATCAGGGGCTGCCGAGCTCACCCCAGTCACAGCAGGACCTGCAGCACTGGGGGCCCTGGTCCAAGCAGGGGAAGGGTGGGCTTCAGTGGATGTCAGCAGAGCCTGCTGCACAGGGCAGGGAGGCAGATCGCTCAGCTTCCCCGAGGTGACAGCAGGCCCCCCAGAATCTGCTGTAGGAGGGAAAGGAGCCAGCATTTGTGGGTGGTTGACATCACGAGCCAATGCAGCACTGGGGAGCATTGCCAAGACAGTAGCCAGAAGTCCAGACCCATTTCCTGGGACCTTGGCCAGAACAGTATCCACCAGCAGAGCAGCTTTGCCATGTGGGAAGGTGCCAGTAGCCCGTGCATCCCAGAGCATCTCGGGGGTCACAGCAGAGGGTGCCCACACAGTGCCAAGGTGCCTTTTGGTCCTTTCTGTTAGCAGAACTGAGGGCACCCCTGGAATGGGCACGAGGTGAGGAGCAGCAGTGCAGTCCTTGCCTGCACTGGGCAGGCCAGGGCTTGGTCTGGTCTCTTCCTTCAGCCCATTGCAGCTCCTTGTTGTGGCTCTGGTGACCAAAGCTCCGCACTGGACATCAGAGAAGCCACTGGCTACAGGCTGACCAGAGGCAGGCACGCTGCTGGGAGCCAGCGCCGCTGCTGCAGCTCTGGCCCGAGAAGGCAAACGGCTGGCTGCGACCACAGCAGGAGGCTTAGAGCTCACAGCCAGGCTGAGATCTGCTCCGCAAGGCACAGTCCGATGGCCAGGGGGTGCCCCAAGGGCCAGCATCTGGTCACCTCTGGGCTGGCCCGCTGTGCTCTGGCTCTGGGAGGGAGCACCCATCAGCATCCACGCTGCCCCGGCACGTGCGGGGCCATCCGAGGGGCCCCAAGCCCCCCCAGCAGCCCCTTCAGGTGAGACCAGCTGGGTGGGCACCACCTCCAGCAAGGCAGCCCCCGCAGAGGGGCCAGAGGCAGCCGCAGGCAGGGGGGGGG